CAAACTTGATGTAACTTGCTAGGAAAATTTCTCAAAGCCAGAGGGATTCGGGCAAGATACAAATGCTATTGAATAAGTAAATTGTAGTGATGCTGAACATGCATCTTCAACTAATCGTCTTGACAAGTGGTGAGAACTTATTCAGGCAAAGCTTCACAACTCCGAGACGTTGCCCCTTCGGCTTCCTACGAGGTCAACTTACAAATCTGTTCAATTCGCCCCTTCAAAGTAAATTAAAGGTATTCCAGCATAGATTTAGCATATTCGTTGACGGACGATATACTTTTAACACAATATATAAAACGAGGATAAATATCTTTTTCAGTGTATTTTATTTTTTAATTCCGTTTGATCGTGGGAACGTTCAGGTTTGATTTTCTTATCACATATGAGGAAAATTAAGAGCGAGGTTGACCTCAAGAAAGGATAGGAATAAAAAAAGCTCAAGCACAACAATGGATCTCTGAACTGAAAAGATTCATGTGACGCTAATCACAGACTATCAAAAAAACAGCATAAACAAGGTGTAAACAACCAATTAAAATTCCGGAAAATTCAATGAAGTTAAATAAAACGCCAAATAAATAAATTAGTAAAAATAGTAATTTAAATGAAGAACATGCTTGAATATTCACATCCGACAAATAAATGCGGAACAAATGTAGTCCTAAGAAAGTAAATCCTCAAGCAATATGGCGCCTAAATAGAATAATTACCTCTTCAGCATCGAGAATACAACGAGTTAGAATTTCTAACAAGGGCACACCATTGTTATCATGTCTGCGCAACATGTCCGCAATCACGGAAAGGAGCTCCCATACGCCACGGGGTTCACAACTACGAAGTGAACGGAGGAGACCATTGTAATCTTCAGTTTCATTTGGCAAGTTGCACGCGAGAGATGTCAAATCGCTATAAAACGTAGTCTTAGGTGCACAAAAACGATGTAAAGTAACCCGTAACTTCTCGCGCAAAACAGCTCCATCAAAGCACCATGCAGCGATATCCCCAATAGCCCCACCGGCAGTAGGATCTGGAAGAGAATGGGTTAAAATGTATAAGATTACACAAAAACGAATAGATAAAGCAAACTATTTTACCTGGGGCGCCACGCGAATCTTTTAGGGGATTATCGGCCGAAGTCAACAGTTGATCAAGAATACTTTGAGCAGCAGGTAAAATCTATTCAAATATAAGCATCAAATTAATGCACAAAAATAATCTACACACAAGTTTAAATATTTACTTTTTTTGCTCCCATTTGGCAAATGAGATTTTGAGCGAACTTTTGGAGACCTTCCTTGGTAAGCTTCGATAAAGATTCAGATATAGGAGCTCGAAGGACAACTTGCTTTGGCTGTCGAATACGAGCAAGGCAGGTAGCTACAACATGTTGGCACCACACTCCCACAGGAGTGATACCGGCTTGATTTGTGCCATTTGTAGTCGTGTTTGTGTTGGCACATGAACCACTACCAGTCGCAGCCGCAGTACGCAAAGATGCCAAACCACATTCCCCATTTCTGACAGCACCATCAATCATATTCCAAGAGAGAGGAATAAAACTATTTAGTCCAGCATTCTGTTGGTGATGTGAATTATTTTGTCCAATGAAACGAGGAAGACGAGAAGAAACCAACCACCGAACGGTCCGACTGGGCACAGCATTTTGTCCATTAACTCCCACGGGTCGTTGCGCGTTAGGGTGTTGATGGTGATGATGGGCGGTAGAGCCCTCTATTCTGAAGGAGCGCTGTCTGTTTGGAAACAAATAAGAACTGAGATATCTAGAAGAAAGAGGAAGTGCCGATAATAGACTAGGATGGTGTCCAGGAAGCGATCCTGCATCCAGAGAAGTACGCTGTTTATTAGAAAACCATCGAGAAGAGGGTAAATGACGAGATGAAACAGGAAGACCGGATAGAAGACTTGGATTACTTGCCAAAGGAGCAGCAGCTGCCGCCGCTGCTGCCGCGCTGACTAGCTCAGCATTGTCAATTGTTGGATACAAATGAGAAATTTTTCTAGAAATATCAAAGTATTCACGTGTGATCTCGTCAATACCACCTTTTACGGGTGAGTTTGATGAGAG